AGCCGACTGGCCTCGATCACATTCTCTTGACGATTCAGCTAGTATCTTCAAATCTATGTCCATCTCGTCCGTTGCGTAGGAGTCTTCATCAAAGATGATATTTGCTCTATCTGTTTCTTTCTCCTCACGCCACCCATGAAGCATCTCATCTGTTGGGCGTAGAAGAGGTACCGCAGCTCTTAATTCGGCAGTCTCTATAACTAGTGTTATTCGCTTTGCGTAAACACTTCGAACTGTTGAGTTTGTCCCTGAGTCGCTGCCTTGGTGTGTCCACGTCTTCTAACCAATAAGGTTTTGTGATAGCTAAGTGGTCCACAGGTCAGCCACCTCCTCGGAAGGTCTGACAGTTTGAGACTGCACAGCACTCTTTTTCACAGGCCTTTTCAGCTAAAAGGAAAGAATAAGCCTGCCCGACATGGATCTTGAACAAATTATCACCTCCGTCAGTGCAGCTCCAAGAGCGACATAAAAGGCTACGGGGGACTTGGGCTTGCAGCAGAATAGGCGGAAGGATAATGTTACTAATATAGTATAGCACAGCTTAGCCATGCCTAGTCATAAGCTTTTGATTCAGTGCATTTGGGCCTTAGTGTGTAACGTAATTAGCTTGTGTATTTCTGACCGGGATAATCAAAGAGATAACCTTTTGAGGTGAACACAAATAAATAGAAATACAAGTTTTTTATAGTAACTTATTACAGTAAGTCCTATTTATGTACAAATGTGTATATTATTATCTATAGGTAAATAAAGAATTTCATATATTATAAAACAAGCATGTATAAATTCAACCTCATGACCTGGTAATTCTTTTCCGCTCTACAGGAACACTCTTCTTCCAACGTCATCGCTTTTCCCATCCTCCTATCCACTCAACCTGTACCTCCTGAAGCGTGTCTGGTGCCATTTGGAAGATCTAATTTACCTTGGACTTCACTGGTCGCTGAATTCGGCTTCAGTGCTCGGAAAAGAACAGAAAACTCAAAGCACCACTCCGTCAAGATGGCCTCCAAGAGGCAAGTCACAGCCAAGCCTTCGAGAGCTGCTAGATCCAAACCCTTAGACGGCTTCAAAATCGTGATATGTGGCGAATATAAAGACGAAAACCACACCCACACCTCACTTTCGATACTCATTGGTGCGAATGGCGGAGATACCACCAAAAATATTAATAGTGACACCACTCACATTTTTTCCACTCGAGACGCCTTTGGATCTTCGCAAGTTATCATCAAAAAAGCCAAGGAAAAGGGACTTCCAATTATAGACACATTATGGCTTATCAAAGCACAATGCGAATCTACCAAGTTGAGCGAGTACTACCTCCAGAGACCCTCTTCAAAACCCTACGGCACTATTGAAGATAGTAGCAAGGGCAATTTTGAAAGAAAACTACCACCTCAAGTAAGAGGGAAGGAACAGGAACATAGTAAGCCTAGAGGCAATTGTACAGGACGCACCAACGCGAGCGACGATCTTGAATTTAAGGAAGAGAAGCATACACAGCCCTCAACTCAGGGTACCAGGATCAAGGCCGCCGTAAAGCATGATCCAAAAGGTATCCTAAAAGGACGAGATTCCGTTACTCCCCTTGAAACAAGAACTCGCCGTCGTGATATTCAGAATAAGAAGGTCGGGTTTGTGAAAAATGAGAAATTATTTCTAGCACCGCCTGAATCCACACTCACGGAGCCTGTCAAAAAGTTGATGAAGCTCATCTTCAATCAAACGAACGGCGCCAACGCTACAAACGGGCATAGGAAGAACTTGACCTGCTATGAAAGCCACGTCTCCAGATTATCATTAGACTGGCAAAAAGATCTGAACCTTCAAGCAGGTTTTAAGTATCTAATAAATCTTGAGGACTTTATTTCTAATGGCGATAAGAAAGCGATTGGATATTACAACACCTTGTATCATTCGGTCATTCGTCCTGAACGTAGGGGCAAGGGTCTACTGATAGATAACATGAGATTACTTAAAGAGGAATGGGAGCGTTTGAGTAACGTAGTCCAACTGCCAGAACGCCAGTTCCAAGATTTAAATCTTAAGGAGATGGCTCCTCTTGATGATGATAGTGAGGAGTTTAAGTATATCAAGAGCTATCTCAACGTCTCTGGTGGTGCTACTCATGAGCTGAAAAAAGTCTTTCGTATCGAGCGCGAGGGTGAGGGCGAGAGGTTTGAGACATACATCTCTCCCCTAGAACATCCAATTCGACGTCTTCTCTGGCATGGTTCGCCAGTGGCAAATTACGGTCGTATCATTAGTGAGGGTCTCCAAATTGGGCCCAACGAAGTCACAGTATCAGATTACAATTTTGGCAAGGGCATCTATCTTTTCGAGATGTCTTCACAAGCTACGAGTTACTGTGACTACGAAGCGTCTGAAGGCGAAG